TGATATTAGCTTCATTATGTTGTCCGGTTTGCTATGATAACAAATTGCATTTAGAAGAAAATTCTAGATTTGAGCTATTATAAATATTATAAAAAATATTTTTTACTTCTAATTATTAATAAAAACTATATTTAGACATATATATTAAAGTGTGAAAATACAGTAAGATGGTTGTTTAATAAAAAATTGTTCCTGTGTTAAATGCTTTATAAGTAGTAGACTTTTGATGTTATTCACTAAATACTTTAAAATATCGCTAAATAATACGTTAAAATATCGCTACGTTAAATAAAACTAAGAAAATGTGTGAAGGAATGTGCCCCCTATAAAATATAATAACTTCCTACTGACAAACATTCATAGTTTTTAGAAAAAATGTAATTATAAACTTTAATTGTGTTTTTCTCAAAATGACAATTTTGCTGTTTTTTGTCTACGGAAAACAAGATAACTCAACTAATTATAATAAATTTGTCTTCAAACTTTCAGAGATTGTTTCTTGTATTGGTGGTTATGTAACAGACCTCCAGAATTCAGATAACTGTATTATTTTTTGTTTTATGAGATATTTTGCAGTAGATAATGTGAAGAAAATGTGAAAAAAAATGGAAAAATATGCTTAACACTCCATAAATTTTTTTAATTTCATGCTATCATTTAAGTTGAGGTTCATAACACTTCAGAGGGTTATACGAAACGGCTCAAAAAGTTTGATAGCTGCATGTACAATAGTTTTTTGTGTAGAGTGTTTTCCGTTAATGAGTTATTTTCATTAAAATTATCTAAAAAATACTCTTTAAACAAAAAATTTCCTGTATATTAAAATTTTCTCCATTAAATATGTTTATTTAAATTAATATACAATATAAATTGCAATAATGTTGTGAAAAATATTTATTTTTCAAAAATTTTGTCCCGAATAATTTAAAATATCTTAAGATGTCTTTTCACAACAATTACAACAAAAAAGAGATTTTCGATTTTTTCTTTGGATCATTCAGTGTTTCTCAGTTTTAGTCTTTAATCCTCATAACACAATTCCTCACAATTCCTTAATCTGCAGTCTAGTATTCTATTTTCTTAGTTTATATTAGACTAGATTTTTTTTTAAACTTAGCATAACCACACAAAATAAAATCACTCACATTAAATTCTCATAGAAATAATGTATTATCTATATTTTATAGACAAGACCGTTGTGTTGATTGCTGTTTTATTATATTTTAATTTTGTTCAAGGAAATGCTTAAATAAAAATATGCTGCAATTATAAGACTGAATTTCAAAACACCTCTCGTTAGATTTATTAAATGAGGTAAAGATTATTCATACAGATTTGTTCTAATAATATGATTTTATTATTTTGAAACACAATAAAGTGTATTTGAGAACTGTAAGTTATTTTGGTTTGTACAATGGGATTATCTATGCCAAGAAATATATTTATCCCTATAATTATTCATAAAATATAATTGATGAACATATGGAAAGTAACATTTACAATTCTTTTCGTGTCATTAAAATTCATCATCACAGAAATAAATAAATGGAAAAAAAATTTGCCTTTGTTCTTTATTGATATGTCAGCTCTTAATTAAGTACTATTTCATAATTTATTTTGGTTCGGGTTTTTAATATGGCTCTTTATTTATTGCCACTTATTTTCTTTAACTGGTATCAGTTTAAATTTTATGTAATTAATTGAAAAAAATAAAATTGTCTTCTTCAAGAAAAACTAACGTCTACCAAAATGCATATAAGAATTTATAGGGTCTTCCTTTTTCTCTGCCACTCTCAGATCGAATTGTCTACTAGATGGAACGGACCTTCTGATTTGAGACACCAGCCAAGCATGCGGATACACAATTGATTTTGGACCTTGAAATGGAATCAGGTATCGTTTGTCGGGACTTCGGCCTACAGGCTGATCGCTCTTTAGTCGGTTTGGAACATTTTCGATTTCTACTAATCTTGGTCCGTTTCGATCTGATTCTGTTCCGGACATTTGTTCTTGCTTCTGTTCTGTGGCAACACCAGGCAAATCACTTTTTGATAATTTGTCAGCATTTTCAAGCAACTTAAAAAGTAAATCTTCTGCAGTCGGATCTTCAGGAAAATCTTCATTCATTCTGGACCGCAACAACTTCGCTATCATGTTGGATTCATTTTCTAACGATGTTAAAGAATTTTTGTCACTGAGAACAATGGGATTTAGAATAGAAGTTGGATCGTTCAAGTCAAGTTCAAATTCAGGATTGTTTGTGTAATCGGCATAATCTGGAAATTCATCCGAATCTCTTTTTCCAAAGTGCAGAGTATTATGATTTTCCCAGGGATCTGACTTTTTTCCAAAATGCATGGTGTTGTGAGATTGCCATGGGTCTGACTTTTTGCCAAAATGCATGGTATTGTGTGACTGCCACGGATCAAATCTTTTTCCAAAATGCATTGTATTGTGTGCGTCCCAAGGATCAGATTTTTTACCAAAGTGCATTGTGTTATGCAATTGCCATGGATCAGATCTTTTACCAAAATGCATCGTATTATGTGATTGCCATGGATCAGATCTCTTTCCAAAATGCATTGTATTATGGTTTTCCCATGGATCTTTCTTTTTCCCAAAATGCATTGTATTATGATAATTCCAGGGATCCGACTTCTTTCCAAAATGCATAGTGTTATGCAAATCCCAAGGATCGAATCTTTTTCCAAAGTGTAGTGTATTATGTGATTCCCAAGGGTCTCTTTTTTGTTCAAGAGCAGTTAGATATAATATATCCCAAGGTACAAACTTTTTATCATCAGTAGCATCATTATCATCAGGTGATCTTTTACCAAACTGAAGAAATGGTTCAGGAAATTCTTCTCGGGAATTTAGTGACCCTGATTGTTGAAGACCTGTTTCGTCTTCGTTATCAAAGTTTTTTTCGGCAGGCATGATTTCCTCCACAGACCTTTTTTTCAGAAGTAATTTCTTTTCAGTACCTACCAGGTTCATTCCTTTGTTTTGGGTATTTGGTGTTAATTTGAAATTACCATTTCTTCCAAATGAATTTTTGGGTTTTTGTTTTAATCTATTTTTTAGACTTGGTGTTATGTACATGTTATGTGCGTCAAACGGAGGATCTATTTTTCCGAAATTAATCGCTTTGTGTGATTCCCAAAGTTTGGATTTTTTTTCAAAATTTTGCTGGTCTTCAGATTTTAATTGGTCATGCGCTTTAAACTCTGAATTATTCTGCTCGTCTTTTTTACTCGATTTATCATCAATTACTAAATATTTGACATTCGTTGGAGTTTCGTATTGCATTTTTGTTGTCTTTAGTTGTTTTATATCACTTTCTAAGGGGTGAATCGATCGTTTGTTCATTGATTTCATTTCACTGATAGGTGCTGAATTGTTTATTTCATCGGTGTCAGTTTCAGAGTGATCATCAGTGTTATTCTCAGTCGTCAATATGGTTTCTCTGCTGATAATATTTCCTTTTTGATCAGTAAGAGATTTCTTTCCGAAACTCATCATACTGTGCCAAGGATCTTCCCGTTTGCCAAAATGCATTGTGTTATGATCATTCCAAAAAGCTTCCGATCTCTTTCCAAAACTCATCATACTATGCCACGGATCGTCTCTCTTTCCAAAATGCATTGTGTTGTGGTCATTCCAAGGATTTTCTGATTTTTTGCCAAAACTCATCATACTATGCCATGGGTCATCTTTTTTACCGAAATGCATTGTATTGTGATCATTCCACGGATTTTCGGATTTTTTCCCGAAACTCATCATATTGTGTTGAAACTCATCATCTCGCTTGCCGAAATGCATTGTATTATAATCATTCCATGGATTTTCCGATTTCTTCCCAAAGCTCATCATATTGTGCCATGGATCTTCTCTCTTTCCAAAGTGCATCGTATTGTGATCATTCCAGGGATTTTCCGATTTCTTTCCAAAGCTCATCATACTGTGCCAAGGATCATCTTTTTTCCCAAAATGCATTGTATTATGATCATTCCACGGATTTTCGGATTTTTTCCCGAAACTCATCATATTGTGTTGAAACTCATCATCTCGCTTGCCGAAATGCATTGTATTATGATCATTCCATGGATTTTCCGATTTCTTTCCGAAGCTCATCATATTGTGCCAAGGATCTTCTTTTTTTCCAAAGTGCAACGTATTGTGATCATTCCAAGGGTTTTCTGATTTCTTTCCGAAGCTCATCATACTATGCCATGGATCTTCTCTCTTTCCAAAGTGCATCGTATTGTGATCATTCCAGGGATTTTCTGATTTCTTTCCAAAGCTCATCATACTGTGCCAGGGATCTTCTCTCTTGCCAAAGTGCATCGTATTGTGATCATTCCAAGGATTTTCTGATTTCTTTCCAAAGCTCATCATACTATGCCATGGATCTTCTCTCTTTCCAAAGTGCATCGTATTGTGATCATTCCAGGGATTTTCTGATTTCTTTCCAAAGCTCATCATACTATGCCAGGGATCATCTTTTTTTCCAAAGTGCATTGTATTGTGATCATTCCACGGATTTTCGGATTTTTTTCCGAAGTTCATCATATTATGCCAAGCGTCTTCTGATTTTTTCTCTTCATCAAGCGTTTCTGCAAAAGGACTAACTTCTCCATTTAGAACTTCATCATCACGCTTTCCGAAGTGCATTACATTATGGTCCATCCAAGAATCTGTACCTCTTTTTATGTTTCCCAGTTCTTCTATATCTTTTGAATCCTCGTCTTCTTTGGAAATGTTAGGATCAGGTTCATATAACGACTTTTCGTCTGTTAAACTTTCATCACTCTCTTTCTCGGACACTGACCTTTTACCAAAGTGCATCACCGAGTGGTCATCCCAACTGTTGTACCGCGTTGCTCTGCGATCTAAAGGCGTTATGAGATTAAAGAAAAAATGTGATCTGGCAGGGTTTGGGGAATGAGTCTTTAACAACTTTCGCATAATTTGATCGTTATATCGAAAAGCAGAATTAAAAGCTGCATTTTCTCCTGCATTAATATTAAACTGTTCATTGAAGTTAGAATTTAGATTACTTCTTCTACTACGTGAAACTGTCTTTAAATTCACACTTTGAGCTTCCTTCACTTCTGTAGTTGTATTTTCTATTGAGTCTTTAGTAGCGTTGTTATTGCTCTTTTGGTCTGAAACAAAAAAAGAATTAATTAAATTTAATGTTAAAAAGATAAACATTGTTTTGATAACAGGGTGTTCTGTAATCTTCGCTATAAACGTATATGGCTCATTCTATTTGAAATGAATAAAAATAAGAAAAAAAAACCTTGTGGTCTTCATGACACAAAGTGTTATAAATTTTTTTTTTATGAAAAAATGCATGATGCAAAGGGTTTACCCCTTTACTATTAGGTAAAGATATTACTTTCAAATTTTTTGAATCAAAACTGCGGTACACTTAGGAGTTCGATTATGGATATATATATGTTGAGCTGAGTTCAATTCCTATTCACTGGCTGCCGGCATGATTCGAATCAAAATTCGATTTGTAATAAAAAGCTCTAACTACTATAGTGACACATTCCAGTCTAGAGTGAGTTAGAAAGCTTTATATAGTTACCGCCACAATGACACATCATGACGTGCTAATTTCTAATTTCAATGGGGCAAAGGTTTTCAATTTGTAAAACATGATCCAAGTAGCTTAATCAGGAAATCGGCACTCTTAATTTCACTATTTGCTTATTTCGCTGTATCTTAAAAACTTTTAAGAGAATGGAATGTATAGCGTGATGTGACGTTGAGGCGACCATTATATAAGCCTTCTAAGTTACCCCATGGACTAGGGTGTACAACTATGGTGGTTAGAGCATCCTACTACAATTTTGGAGAAAACTTTTTTCGAATCCTGTCGGAAGACAAAGAACATATCTCTCTCACAATCCTCCCTTCATATCACTTTTGTGATCACGCATTTAGATCAAAAATGAGTACATGCTGTTTCAATTTTGAGAAGTTATCTCTTACAGTGTGAGATATGAAAGGGACAGTTGTGGAAATCGTCTTTTTGAAACAAAATTAACTTTATCTGTTGTGGCAATTGCCTAACATATGGATATCTGTGGTGTGCTATCCAGTACATGTTGGAGAAAGCTTTTTAGTGTTTTACAGAAAAATTCTCAGAAATAAATGACGGAAGGAAAATAATGTAATTCATTATTATTTAATCAACGTTCAAGCAGTATGGCTTAATATTTCTTCGAATTTGTTGGTGAACAATTAGTATGATAAGGAACACTTTATAAGATAACATCAAATCGAGCATTCATATCCCGTTTAAAGGTTATAATTAAATTTTAAACACTTATAATGAAAAAGCTCACTGCAAACTCACGCGTATTCACACCATTCATGAGTTTTTTTGGTTTGTTTCCATAAGTTCCAATTTTGGCATACTTAGAATATCTTCAGTGGATTATTTACTATCTAGTACAAGATGAAGTGAATTTGTTAAGGTCGTTTACGTTTATATCTACTGCTAAAACAAAAGTTAGTCAATAAAAAATAATTATGTATGATTTTAATTTCATGATAAGGATAATTATTTTCTAATTTATAAATGTCCGTTAATTGTTTTAAATAATATTAAAATATACATTGTCTACCCACTCCTATTCAGATAAGTCTAATTTAAATTTGCCTCTATTTCTGTGCAGTGGGAAGTTTTGATTTACAAACTAATTTGATTTTAAGAATAAGTGTACATACGCGTTCTAAATTAATAATTCTCACTTTAAATTGGATCATGAAAATGACTTTGCTGATTCTTACGTGTATTATAGCTTACTGTTATTAAAACGTTTGGTATTCTGAGCACCGAAAATGAAGGCATTTAATTATACTAAAAGATGCGAAAAGTAACCTTCCTGGTGTTTCACTACATCTAACATCAAGGAATTATCTGCAGTGTTACACAGAACGGGTTTTGGTGTAAAGTAGTTGCCACAGTATTTGGTGTTAAGTTACACTAAAATTTTTTACAGTTATCAAAAACGATGCACAAAAGAATCTGGATTAGTCCAATTTCCAACCATATTTTGGCTGCCTTATAAATCTTTTCTAGCTTAACGTTTCCAGTTGTTACAATCTCTTTACAATGGAATCACAATCTCTTCATTCTTAAATTTGAAAATTAAATTAGTTTCCTATATTAGATGTTTGTCATTGTTTTTACTATTTTTAAACAAAAAATCGCAGAGTTGAAATTTTGTTATTTAAAAAATGCCATTTATTACATCATAGAAGAAAATTTACCAGAAGTTTTGGTGTTTGATGGCGGAATCACGTTGCCAGATGCAATGAGTAAGCAACAAATGAAGTAATATGTGCGCAGGAGAACCAATCGAACCACCATCACTCAGCTTTCAGTCTGAAATTAAAAAAAAAAAACTAATTAAGCACAAAATGCAGACCAGTTTAGGTTCCTTAAATATATCATAGGAAAATTTATTTACATTTGTTTTAGAAAAAGGAAGTTATAATGGTTTATCACTGATTTTTTAATACATAATAGTATTAACATTTAGCATATGTATTGAAAAGTATTTACTTAAAACATGAATAAAATACATTTTAATTTTACGTTTAAAATATATCAACAGTTGTTTTAATAAAATCTTCTTTTTCTTTCATTCTTTTTGTCTGGTGCTGCATTTTAAAAGTGATAGTTTAAAAGTCGTTAAATTTTATTTGTAGGGTGTGCTGAGAATTTTTTTTTCATGTGGAATTTTAATAGCTTCCAAAAGTTGTTCTTTCTGGTAGTTAATGGGCAACATTTGACAGATTTGAGTGAATATCTTAAAGGGTTTCTGCTGTTGCAAAGTTCTAATTTTTCTCACTTAAATTAGAGGTTTTTTTTTATAAATGTGAATGTTTTAACTAATTTTATTGTATTATTTAACTAAATGAAATTATTTACGTACGTCTTTCAAAGTTCAAGATTTTACTAGGGCCATCTCATGTCAATAAAGAATTTTTACTGCAGTTTATGTGTATTCAATTTATGTGTTTTCTTTCACAAAAAAATTAAGCTCCCGCAAAATGGTGACCAACTGTTTTTTTGGAAACTATTTAATATGCTTTTAATCCGTAAGTATTTTCTATCATGCAAGCAGCAAAATTAATAAGAAATAATATTTTTAAGAAAAAAACTTCGCGACAGAAGCTCATCTTTAAGATATTCGTTCAATGTTGCACGTGACTGACTATCCAATAAGTTACTTCTAACTGTTATTAAAAATCGATATTAGGTTCCAGTCCAATATTCAGAATAAAAAGCTGTTAGAAAACATAAAAAAATCTGTAACGAAGGTAATTTATACTTTTCAATCTAGTAATTTAAAAAATTCGCTTTTTATAAATCCTTTTAGATGGTTACTCCTTATAAATCCTTATAAATGTTGCCTTATAACTTTTCTAAAGCACTATCTAGTAAGAAATACATATTTTTTTAGACTGTCGTATGGTGCATGCATTTAGACAATTGAAAACAAATTTTTAAATAATTATAAAAACACAGACTTCATAAGTCAGTGATATATAAAAATACAATTTCATAAACAAATCGCTATACATTTCTGAATGAAATAATAAACGTTATGAACGTTTAAATGAAACGTTAAAAAAAAACTNAACCAATCCTTTTATTCTTCGAGAATTAGCATTACAATAATACTTTAACTTTATCGCTAAATCTTGTTTTCCTGTTTTTAACTCTAAAACTAAACATTAGTGCAAATTACAATTATAGAATTCAAATAAATTATTTGAGTGCTTATTTCTCGTCCTTAATAAACATTTATTTCACTCTCCATACTTTCAACACTAAATCTTATTCTCTGTGTTTTTAAGTCTAAATCTAAATATTTTTGTAAAGTGAGGTAAAGTATTTAGCATATAACTGGGAATTAAAATAATAAAATTCAAATAAATTATTCGAATGCTTTTTTCTCGGCTTTAATAATAATTTATTTCACTGTCTGTGCTTTTTATAATAAATATCTATACTTTTTTTTCAGAAGTTTATACTTTGAACTTTTGACTCTGACTTTTATCCTCTGAACTTTTAACTTTAAAACTTATTCTCTGCTCTTGAAACTCCAAATCCAGATATTAATCTAAAGTGAGGTAAAGCGTTTATCATATTAGTGCAAAACCCCCAAAGCAATGCTAGCGAAAGCAGGAGAACTTCCATCGGAGCAGGAGAAGCAGGAGAACCAACATTTGAAGTATTTACTAAACTGTATTTTTATTTTTTAATATATCACAAAATTAAATATTTTAATAAAAAAGGCAACATAAAAAATAGAGAAAAAAAAACGATGTTCTAGATTATCATGTTTAGAAATAAAAGCAAGAATTTTTTCTACTTCAAATAAACATTCTAATTTAGAAAGAAAACATATCATTCGAATAAAAATCAAAAAGTTCTTATACAATTTTTATACTTGCATAAGTGTTTTTTGCTTCATTTTGTCGATTTTCTCGAAAGTAATCACTTTCAGTCATGAGAAACATCGAAATACCATCTCCATGAATGCTTATAAATGATTTATTTTATTTGTTATAATTGAAAGAAATGGTATTTTGTTTATTCTGGTTAAAAGATTTTCTCGAAAAGTTAATAAGAAAATGTCTAAATGTCTTCACGAAATTGCATTATTTGAATGATTTGGTAGAATGCCTGTTATTCGAAGTAGTTAGTAGTTGGTAGAATGCCTGTTATCTTCCCATTGATATTTAATGTTTCTATTATCGGATTAGTTAATACGTAGTTCCTATAACTTATTAGTGAAAGAGCTCTAAATATAATATTTGATTTACTTGTTGATATTTAATATTTCTATTATCAAATTAGTTAATACTTAGTTCCCATTTCTAAGAAATGAACATTAGTAACATAACATTTAATGAATTATTTTTAAACTAGACAAGAGAAATATCTTAAGATAAGCACTGATTTTTATTACTTTTAATTTGAATTTTCCAACAAAACACCCGTATTATATAGTAATGAAACAGTTAAATGCTTCTTCGTACGAGCTATTCAGAACTTTTTTTTTTTTTTAGCTTGCGTAATTTTTTTTTTTCAAATGTGAGCACTCAAAATATTTTATTTATTAAATATAACTTACAAACTTAGTAAATAATATTAAATTTAATAATATTTATAGAAATATTAATAAAAATTAAATTAAAGCAATAGATTGAGACTTTATAGTTACATTAAAAACATTTTCGATAGAATTTTATTTTAAACATCTAACAATAGTATATTTAATTAAGTCAACTTTAATATATTATTTATTTTGAAAGACATTCAATTTAATTATTTGTTTTCATTTTAATGTAATATATTGTTTTTTTTATGTTTAAAAGTAGTAGTTTATTTTAAAAATTTTAAAATGCAAAGTAATTTTTGATTTATAATATTTACCTTCTGCCATTAAATATGAGAAGAGAGAATTGTCTAGTGAAATATTTTAGTGAACTACTTAGTTATGGGGTCCAGCACAGAACAGCTGACTACCTCCTACTTTGGACCAATAATCAGAGACTAAGAAGAGATAGCCCTTTTTCACGTGCAATTTCCCAAAATACAGTCCACCAGGATGTCGAACAACATTCCCTTAAGACTTGCCTTGACCCCTCACGTGGGCTTCCAAGAGTACACTTCAGTCCGGATTTGGCATTAAGCACAAATAAAAATTCAGACGTTCCTGAATTGCTAAAACAACTGGCTCTAGAAATAATTAACAACATCTCAGAGGAGGGCCTCTGCGTTTATACAGACGGTAGCAGGGACAACCGGAGTCGTACTGGAAGTGGAGTCTACATCAAGAGACCTGATGGTGATATTAATATTAAAATGAGAAACCCGGATTCTTGTTCTGTTTTCCGATCGGAGCTTCTTGCTATTGAGGCAGGACTGCACACAATTAAAGAGGATTCGCTGCTGGACCCTATCTGGATCCTAACGGATAGTAGAAGCTCTATCCAATATTTGAGTGCATGGCCCAGAGTGGGAGATAGGGCTGGAACGGCAATCTTACAACTTCTCAGTAAACTTTCCGTGAAGCGGGATATTTATTTGCAGTGGATTCCGTCCCACGTTGGTCTGTACGGGAATGAGATCGCTGACTCGCTGGCTAAACTTGGCACAAATGAACCTCTGCCGGAAAGTTTGGCACTCACATCCTCGGAAATTCACTCCATTAGAAAGCAAGGCGTCCAGCTAGTCTGGAATACTCCCCTAGTACATATCTGGTACTCTGGGGATAAGCCAGATCGTGCTTTGACTCTCAAAGGTAATAGAGGCGATCAGACCGCGTTCACTAGATTCATCAGTGGTCACACAAAGTGCATGAGGTATGAACAACAGCGAAGGATCTATCCCACCTGCAACAAATGTTTCTCCAGTGCAGCCAACCAGGCCCATCTCCTTAGCTGTGTGGATGTTGAAAGGGAGGATTTTCTGCGCGACCCGGTCTTGTTTTTTGATTTCCTGAGAGTGAATGGACTCATGGGCCTGGTCTAGCTCCGCTAGACCAGTGGGGATGAGAAACAACAACAACAATATTTACCTAATATTAAAAATATTAGCATTACCTTTTTTAAAGATCAAAATGTCGTTGAACAAAATTTTTTTTTCCTCCAATGCCCACCTTTTAGAATGACCAACCCGGGCAGCATACAGGCATTTGAAGGGCCACTCTTTCAGGGACACCATATTAGGTGGGCCAACGTTGCTCCCACAGTAAGGACAGATAGTACAGAGAATGAAAGAACATCCATGCCTTGCCCGGGATTCGAACCCAGAACCTTTCTAATTCAGGGGCTGTTCCCTAACCCGGTCGGCTACAATGAAACTTGAATGAATGATTTTTTGATATTTTTTAAACGCAAAGTTTAAAGAAACATTTTATAAATTTCTTACGTTTAAAAAAACTTAACTATTAGCAATTGATAAAAATGGTTTGAGTTCCTTATTGAATTTTCGTTAAATACTTAGATAATGTTAAAATGCGTTCGCAAAAAGTAAAAATTGCAATTGATTGCAAATATGGAAAAATAAATTACGTCAAAATTTACGTGCATCCTAAATTTGATTATTATCGCAGCAGTTTGCTGTTAATAAATGCGTATCGAAATCTTGCATGGCTCTCATGTCATATTTCATCTAGGAACTCCACAAACAAAGCAACTACCTTTATAAATGTGTAAACATTCACTGATAATTAATAAATTTAAACATTCATTTTAGTCATAACTGTAGTAAGCAATATGAATATTGAAAGAAGTTTTAAAATACACTGTGAAAAATTTCTGGTAAAATTAGGTTAAAAAGTACTGGCACTCTGAGAAGAGCAA